TTTTTCTGGAACTACACATTTAATAATTATTATTCGCTGAATAATATTGGTGAATATATATAATTTAAAATAATTACAGCTAAATGCTAAGGGTAATGGGAAATAATTGTTTTAGTATTACTTTCACTCTAACAAACTTTGGAAAACCTCATAATCACCAGTCAAGCAGTGATTATCGTCTCAGAATCACAGTGTGTAAAACTCTTATTACTCTAATTACTGGAAAGTATGAACGTCGTGATTAAATATTGTTACAAGTAACGAGACACATGCCGGCAGTGTTTATTGCTTTTATAAAACATTTTTGGTGATCTTGTGTGAACGCTTCTTTGACCCATAGTACAGAGAAGCGAGCCAATCAGTACAGGCCTTGGAATATAACCCAAATATTTTATAACTTTAAAAAATCAATAAAACCGAAACAGCTTTCATTCACTATCGCTCTTATGCAGTGTATGTAGTATATTTAAATAACAGTATTTCATCTCCAAACCCCCATAGCACAAGGACAAGCCACGCTGATAACAGTTGTTAGCTTAATATTTATGGACGTTTTGACAACCTAAAGCTTCTAGGTATTGGAATTAACTAAGAATAATAAGATTTACTTATTATATTTTTTTTCGAAATTTCCGGTCTTCTGAACACTATAACCATGCAAACCAAATAAGCTTACAAAAGACAAGAAAAGATTCAAATATCAAGCTCAACTTTGAAAAATAAAACATTAAGCTATCTCGCACTCTTTTCAACCAGTTTTAGCCTTTAAAAAGTTTGAGGTCAACAGTAAAAATAATATCAAGTACGACGAGAATCAAAGAACAGGGTAAATTACGATTACAAGCTCAAGTTTTGACAAACCCTAACAACATTTCTAGACCATTTTTCACCTTAAAGATGATACATTAGGGTAAATAAATAATTGTTGTACACTTCACGGCTAATAAAAGATGATTTTACCTTTTTTATGAAGTAAAAATAACAGCAAAAAGACGAAGACAATATTTTCAGTGACAGTCGCCATCTTGGTTTTTTTCTCCTTTCCAGAAGACCTTGTACGTCATGTCTAAATTTACATAAATGGACTTCCGGTGATGTTGGTCACTTCCGGTACCTTTACCACAGGGTGACCAATTATCTTTAGCTGCCGGGCAATCAGAAATTGAGAGATACAGTGTTTTGCTTTTGCAAAATTTGGCTATCTTTCGAAAATTCAAAGTCAAATTTCTCAAAACTGCTCTCCATGCATATATATTGTTCACATTTTTTGAAACTTGAGCATCGTCATCGTCCTGCAAGATCTCAAAGTCAAGACCTTAGACTTCAAAAAACTGGACAAAAATGGGCAGTAAAGCAAACGCACCAACGCTTAACAGCGGTTTTATATTTTTGTGTCTACTGCACAATGCGGATACGAAAATGTTCGCGTCCACACGCAGCGTATTCGAATCGTATTCGAATCGTTTTCGCTGTCCACACGTATCCGGAAATTTCTTGATCCGCCCTGATGCACGCTAGTGCCTAGTCCCTTTGACGGATAGTTTTTCTTATTGAGCATGCGCAAAATGGTGTTTACAACAGCGTATTCGAAAATTTGCGGATACGACCGTCCACACGTATCCGTATTAGGACATTTCCACACTGGAGACCGTTTTCGAAAATTTTCGGATGCGGATACAAAAATTTCCGGACACGTGTGGACGCAAAGCTTATCCGCAAAAAAAAAAATTGTCGTTACTGCGATTACTAACGAATAGCGCCGAAGTCGGTTACAAGTGATCGAATTCAGCTTTTGTGTGCATATAACGAGCATTATTTTGTTCTACGTATATGTTCTGCGTATATACGTGCGTTATTTTGTTCTACAAGGAAATGTTTGATGACCCATTGCGGCTGATCAATAGATGCTGACAAGTCATAAGCGCTTCGATACCGTGAATCATCAGGAGAGGTCCAACCTCGTTCCCAGGGCCTTTCACACGGAGGAGAGAAGAAAGAAAGACCCTGGCGTTGGCCCGTCACGTGACAAATACACCCAGCATATTCGGGTGTTTTGAAAATACCGCTGAAGAAATAACTGGAGGAATGCGGGCACATTAAATAAGCATAACTTAAATATGGCTGTCAACTCGAATAAACAGGTTGAGTTTTTAACAGACTACAAACAGATATGGATGATGATCTTTTTTCTTCCTGTCGGTATCAAACTTTCTTTGGCGTTTCTCTAGCTCCCTCCATCACTTTTGGACGTACAAGATTACATTTAGATAACAAATTTACGTTTAAATAACAAGCTTTTCTAATATTTTTAGCGGCCGTGTAGCCGCTGTTTTCGTATTATTACTTCCAGTCTTGCCAACATCTTGTTTCAATCTGTCATTATATTTCTCGCTCAGGCGTGCCATGGAGCGCCAAAAATCATAATAAAGCAACAACAAATCAAAATTCAGGATCAAGTAAACCAATGAAAACCTTTCATTTGACCAGCCAACGCCAGGGTCTCCTCTCCTCTGCGTGAGAGGGCCCTGGGAATGAGGTTGGGAGAGGTCCTGAAAGCGAGAGAGGTGTACTTCCGTGTTTCGGACTCCATAAATTGCATAAGTTGTGTTTATCGTGCAACTAAGGTAAGTTAAATTGCAGCAAACTAGCAGGTTAAAGTATATATCCTTCGTAGAAAGAGTATCACTTATTAATTAGCTATCTTTACCGCAATCTTGCAGTCAAATCCATTTTAATAAGGGTTCTTTCGGAGTGAGAGTTGGTAGAGACGATTAACGATCGTTTCAGACGAACTACTGACTAAAATATTCGAATCAAAATCCGCTTACGAGCTAATAGCAATTCATAAGCTAACAGAAATTCTCCTATGAAACTTTCGATTTCGGCTTTGACTTTGGCTTTGATCATATCGCTATGCCCATTGTTGCTTGATTGACTTTCGCTTTAAAATGTCGACTTTCGCTTTTGTTATGCGCCATTTTAAATAGCAATAAGTTAAGCTTTTGATACTTAGACTTTGAATGACCGTTCTTAGGCCACCTTATGATCGTAGGATTACAATTCATGAAAGAACTGAGCATAAACTTTGATTGACTAAAAAAATATACAGAAAGACCACATAGTTTCATCACATGACGGTTTAGAGTTTCCATATGCCTACTTTAGACTTTGTACGGCTGCCCGTACCGCTTAACTTTGACCTAGCTCGACTTTTCTGCCATGACAGAAAAAGGTGGATAGCAGCCTAGAATTTCGTGCACGAGTTAATCGTATTCGCGTCACTTTCCTAGGTCATGATAAAAAGGTAAATTATGACACCGCGAAAAGATGAAAAAACTTAGTAGTACTCCGACGAAGGACTAGCGTCCGAAACGTCAGTAAGTTTTTTCATCTTTTCACGGTGTCATAATTTACCTTTTTATCATTACTGTTTCATTAGAAAAGCCGACGCAGCTCGCACTAGTTTTTAGCTAGTTATCTCTTCACTTTCCTAGGTACAAGAGCAACTCGTGCTGACTTGAACTTTCATGGCTCTTGATCAGGTTAGAATCCAACAATTTGAGAGCACTCGACTACTACTGAAAGAAACTGGTGTAGAAGTAGACGTTCGAGATACAGACCATGCAAAAACAAATCATTACATCAGGCAGAGCCGAACATACTTCCCAGACACAAAGTTGCTGACCTACATCGACTGTTTTGACTTCTTAAAATTTGCACGTTTGCTATTTTTTGCAAGCTTGTTCGGAGCTTTGGGTGCTATCGAAACTGGTATCCCAAAGGAGCTGCCTTTGGGCTTTTTCGTTGCCTGTGCAGTATTTTTCTTAATTTACTGCCAACACGAGTGGGTGAACCAAAAGTCTCTACCAGTTGTTCAAAGGCAGCCTGTGTTTGAGTCTCAGCGAAATACTAACTGGTTTTATGAAGTAACTATCACAGAACTCAAGGGTATGGTTCTCGAAAATTATAGAGCTGGTATTGGCTACGTCAAGCGGTCTCATGGAAAGATCRAGTTTCAGGCCTTCAACAAAACCGCAGTTGAAAGAATGTCACGCGCTAAATGTCAGTCACGTCTGATGCTGGTCCTCTTCTTCTTGGCGTCTGTTTACAATCTCTTTTTCATGGTGCTGGCTTATTCAAAATCCTGATTTTACTTTCAATTCATAMACCGAATCGAAATATGGCGACCAAATTTGAATAACTTGTTTTGACCTGACTAGCCTCGTGTTCCGACGTGGAAAGCGTTTTCACATGTAAGAGCGAGAGGCTAGCCTGATCGATAGTGCTGAAATGCACTTCAAACATACCCTGAAGTTTGAGAGTGACACAGGTGCAACCTCAAAACCATGTGTTGAAATAATAAAGTATAAAGAACACCACACAAACTACAACTTTTCGCGGGAATGATAGATATCAAGCTATGATTACTGTGAGACCATCTTAGAGTGACCTGTTATGGTATATTATGGCGTGTTTATGCATGCTTTACTGAGGACCAGTATGTATCAAAGCATTATATTGTTTGGAGTCCAGTTTGGAGTTTCTCACTT